TGTCCTATGAACAGGGTTTAGTGAAAACAAACAAACAAACGCCAGCCACAGAAACAGGGAGGATTGACTCTGTAAGCTCCTCTCTTACCTGCACTGTGTGGTCTGGTCAGTGCTTCAGGCTGCCCCTTTTAGGCTCAGTCCTCCGTAGTTATGGAACCCAGATCTCAAATTCCCTGGTACCAACAGTCCCGCGGATCTCCTTTCCACAGTAGGGGCTGTGCCTGTCCCAAGAGACGCAGCTGTGTGCCCCCCGGTCTCCCTCTGACCCTCTGGGCTCGGAGGTCTGGCAAGCTTTCCTGCCCAGATCCCTGGTTTTTACATTTCCAGGGGAACTCTGCCCTTCCCGGCTGCAAACTGTCTCACCAGCTGAGTATACTTCGTCAGTACGGGGTGGGTGTTCTTAGTTTCAGCTGCTCATTCTATTTACTCCGGGACAAGTCTTGAGAAGCGTCTGCCTATTTCGCTGCCATCTTCTCCATTGATTTTCAAACCTTGTTAATGGACTCTACCTCAGAAATATCTCCCAAGTCCAGTCCCTTCATTCCCTCTGCCCCTGCCTTAATTCAGGCACTCCACTCTTGCCTGCACTGTGTGAATGGCCTCTTAAGTAGCATTATCTTCTTAAAAACCAAAACTGATTATGTTACCTGTCTTCAAGAAAATCTCTGCAGTTATGCTGTTACCTGTAAGATCAAGTCCACGTTCCTGGTTTTGGCAGAGCAGAGTCATCATAATTGGGTGCCCATCTCTGCACCTCCAACTGCACCTCTGCTCGCTTGCCTGTCAGCTCCTGTATCCCATCGGCACTTCTGCCTGGGGAGTAGCCCACATCCCTAAATATGGCATCCTCCTTCCCACATGTTTATGGTCCTCCCTGAAGCCCTTCTACCTGGCAAATGCTCATTCTTCAGACCTGGCTCAAATGTCACCTCTGAGATGCTGCTACCCAGTCAGATGTGGCTGGGCTGTCCTCTGTGCTCCTGCACACATCTGTGCATCCCCACCTCTTGGTATCCATCTGATTAAACAGAGTCAGATGAGGATTCTTGGGGGCATTGATGTGCTTAACACCTGGCACTGTACCTGGTATGTAGTAAGTGATAAAGTAATGACACTCTGTTCTCTCTAGAACTGCTGTCCCCTGTGATACATAAAACTCTGAGGAGGAGGGATTGTGACCTTTTACTCCCCCAAATCATTTTCCCTGGCTCATGTCTGAGCCCTTGGCAGTGGTACTCCGAGTGCTATAATGCTTCTCACATTCAGCCCAGAGCTGCACCACTCCCTTCTCTCCCAGGAATCTGCATCTTGATCAACTCCCCAAATGATGCTAGTATTCCTTAATGTTGTGACTAGTTCCAGAGCAGTGTACACCCACTAACGTTCAGAAAGATTGCTAGTTCCTTCAGACATTCACCACAGGGGGAGAACTTAAGTAAGACTGGGACTTGCTGCAAAGCAAACCTCCTTCCTGGAGAGTAGCAGTATAATTAGCATATTACAGGGTAGAGAAATCCCTAAAACAAAGACAACACAAGCAAAC